TCCCTGGAATCTGTGCAAGGACACAACAATAAACCATTCAGGAGTGTGGAAGAGAGGGCACCATGATCTGATGGACAGTACTGCTCCCTGGTGATGAGGACTTGGGGTCCAGTGCAGAGGCTGCTCCATGGCTCTGTGATGCTGGCTTCTGCAGCACTGGAAACAGGAACCGTGGACAGATGGGAGATTTATTTTGAAGGAAGAGCTGGAAGCATCTGGTATACACAGGACTGTTAGCTGTTAGCTAATAATAATAATAATCACCTTAACATTAAGAGGAACATTTAAGGAAACTATCTGCTTTCTTGTCCTCATCATTTTGTTCCATTTTCTGCATTTTATATCCATTTGAAACCATGCAGTGATTTTCTTTCTTAAACCCTTTGTTGCATTCTTTATGCTTCCATACATAACATTTTGTTTCATCATTGCTTGGGACCTAAGCAATGCAGATTTTCTTATGCTAGTTTGTATGAAGAACTGAACTTCAGAGAGAATAAAGTGACTGTTTTACAATTACCTAGTAAGCAAGCTGTAAATTTCACATTGTTCTTCTACAGCATAGTTCAGCCAAGTCTGTAGAAATAGATTTGATAAAGGGCCTCCACTTTGTTCTCTTCCCTTGTCTTTCTTCGGAAGTACATCATCCCTCAGCAGTCTGTGTTCTGTTATCCTAAGGAACCCCACAGTTGGGTACTTAATAAAAAAGAGGGGCTTACTTTGCTCCCAGTTCTGGTGGTTCAAAGGGTGGCGGTGACACTTGCGAGGGGCAGATTACATTGTAGCACAAGTTCCCAATGTAATGCACAGGATCTGGACCCTTCTGACACAATAATCCGTTTGACAGAACTAGCCAGGAGGCTCCTGGGAATTACCACAGGGAATTGCCACAATCCCTTCTGCCACAGTGCCTCCTGTAGCTCTGGAGCTTCACAGTAGATGGCACTCCTTTTAAGTCCTACCACCTCTTACCACCTGCGGGCACGCTTTGGAAACGTGACAATTACATCCACACCACAGTGTACCCTCGTACCCCCATTTCCTCCTCTCCCCTGGAACAGTGTTTATAAAAGCAGGGACTAAAACATTCCCTTCCTTTTGTTCCAATAGTCAGAACTGCTGGCACAGGAGCCAGAACAAGTTCCTTGTTACTTGATAGGACCCAGCTAGGAACTCATTCCCTAGTGGATTGATTTGTGTAGAAATGGAATTCACAGGGCTGAGTCTCTAGCTCTGTTGGTAGAATTCTTGCCCAGCACTCATAAAGCCTGGATTTGATCCCTGACACCAAGAAACTGAGTGTGATGTGACAGGCTGTAATCTAGCACCCAGGAGGCAGAGGCAGGAGAACCAGAAGTTGAAGATCATCTTCTGATATCCAAGTGAGTTTGAAGACCGCTTGGGCCACATGAGGTCCGGTCTCCAAACAAAATAACCGCCCCCCCACGCATGCACACACACACACACACACACACACACACACACACACACACACACACACACACCACTCATAATTCACAAAATAAACCATCAGAAAATACGTCTGGAGTTGGTAAACTCCAAATGGAGAATCTAAAGTAGCCAGTGAAGCTTACAGAGGATGAGAATTTGGGGGAGAAGTTTGAAACAGTAAAAATATTTTAACAGTTACTGTGCCCTGAAGAAGTTAAATGCCATGAGTCTGACTTAGTCATCATGATGTCCAGCTCTCTGGCTCTGAGATAGTCTCTACCATAAAAGCCCATACCTCCCAGAAATGTGCTGTTTGTGATTCTGTCTTCAAGCAGTTGGTAAAACTTTTTTTTTTGTCAGAAGGTATGGTAGATAAGTGAGAATAACAGTTTATGAATCATATGGTGTCCTGCCAAACTGCTATTAATTCTATTGTGTAAGTCATTGAACTGGGAGTGACTTGGTACAGGCCCCCCCTGCACACCCCACTGTGTCTGGTGCCCAGCACAGCTTCAGGGTGAACGTTTTTCACTTGGGCTCTCCTGTGCTCCAAAGAGTCAGCTGCTCACCAGGAACAAAGCAGGGTAATTTCTCCAAAGGTCCTTTTTTCCCCAGAACCTCCTGCATGCACCTTCCCAACAAGGCCTTTTCTGAATGTCTATGATGGCTAGCTAACTGTTGTCACCTTGATAACTGACCTGGGAGAAGGGCTGTGGACATCCCTTTGGGGATTATGTTGATTGCCTTTATTGATGTGGGAAGATTCATTTTCACTGTGGGAAGGATCATTCCCTGAGCAGGAAATGCTGGGTTGTCTAAAGTGCAGAAAGCATGCTAAATAGATAGTAGTAGGTATGCATGGCTTGCTCTCTGTTGTTTAATGTGTGTGAGTGTCTCTGCCTGTGTGTATCTCTGAGTCACATGTGTGCAGTGCACACAGTAGCCAGAAAGGGCGTCAGATTCCTGGAAGTACAGCTGCAGGTGGTTTTGAACTGCCACGTGGGTGCTGGGAATTTAACCACGGTCCTCCGAGAGAGTAGCAAGTGCGCTTAGCTGCTGCGCCACCTCTCCAGCTCCACTCTCTTCATCTCAACTGTGGATACACGAATAAATTCATCCCTGCATTAAAGAACTTGGTGTGCACTCTGAGCATGTCTGTGAACTGTGTTCCATGTGATGGTGAGGGTGTGAAGGGGCACAGAGGACAAGGCTGAGACTCACAGTGGAGGGTGTGACAAGGATGGCAACAGGGGGAAATGTGAGCCAACTGTCACCAAGCGCCGACGAGCTGGTCAGGCAAAAAGGGAAGGCATGGCTAGAATGGTACAGGCTTCATTCGGGACTGGTCACCACCTGAAAGGAAGGCGTTCCTGTGCTTCATACACAGAGCTGTGAGAAGGAAAAGGGAAGCGAATAATTGAGCAGCCTCCCGTGAGACAGGCAGTCCACCCTGTCTAATTCCCACCAGGTGCCACTCACACGCTGAGACATGGGTGGGTAGGAACCTATCCTAGGCTGGCAGGTTATGACATCTCTGTTTTCCTTTGCGCGGTTTGGACTCACAGATTATTATTCACAAGGCTTCCTTTCTTTCTGACAAGCTGTTCCCTGGGCTTTCTGGAACCTTGGATGCCTGTGTACTTGTGTTAGGAAACCTGGATTCTTTTTTTTTTTTTTTTTTTTTTTTTACAAATAAATATTTATGCTTCTAAAAAATAAAAAATAGGCCGGGCGGTAGTGGCGCATGCCTTTAATCCCAGCACTCAGGAGGGAGAGCCAGGCGGATCTCTGTGAGTTTGAGGCCAGCCTGGACTCGGAAACCTGGATTCTTTAGACTAACTTCCTCTGCATTTTTTTCTCATCCATTAGCAGCTACCTGTATTAAACAACAGTCGTCAGCTGCAGGGACCTATGGACTGCGACATATCATACCCACTTAGAGTGAGATTGTAAAGGCACCTGAGCCTGGCTGTCAAAACCTGAAATGGCTTTTCTTATGGAATTTGTTGCTAACTCCTTTCAGGCATTCTTCTCTGGCCTGCTGGTCCCAGCATCTTATGGACAATGCCATCTCATGACATTCCAGAGCTGATCTGTTATCCGAGTCCTAGGCTACCTTACATCTGGGAGGAAATGTCTTACAACACATGCTCTTTTTTTAAGTGAAAAAGAACTGGGGTGTTTCATGGGTGAAGGGACACCAGGAAGAAATTAAAGGGGGCAGAAGATGCCTTCTCCTTTTTGGTTCCCCCATCTCTGGAGGGATTGAGCACTGTTCTTTGAGGGAGGTGCAGCAGGCAGACATCTCCAGCACGTCAATGCGCCCTCCTGCACAGAGGGAATCTGTCTTTCTGCAGTGTTAAGAAAGCACTGTTCAGTTCCCACTGACTGACAGACAGAAATCCAGCCAGCATGGCCTTCTCTAGAGCGCCTTCTCACTGTGGGCTGCTCATTCCTCATTGTTCCACAGCCCAGCTTGTTTCCTTGGTAAATTAGACTGCCCTTGGCAACCCCAACTTCTCAAACTGGTGTCTTTTTTCAGAGTTTGCAGATGGAAATCAAAGTTCACCCTGGAGTGGGGGCCTTTAAGTACCATGGAGTATGCTGTAGCTTGAGCATGTCATCACATATTTCAGGAATGGCTTTAACCTGTCACATTCAAATCGTGTTTGTTAAAAGAATGACTCCCAGCTCTGCTCACACATTGGAATTATCTGGAACACTTTAAAAAATGCCTAAAAGCGTACTGATGCATGGGATTTTCTCCAAACATCTTTACAGTTGATCTGGATATGATCTGATTACGTTTTGGCTTCTCTTCCTGACCTGCCACCATACAGCAGAAAGGCAGCAGTGTGCCATGCTCCGGGCTGTGGGCACACACTACTGTACCACATCTGGGCCTGTTTAAGCATTCTGGCCTCAAACTTCTTATGTTGACAGCAAAACAATGAACATCTGCCTGCTCTTTGAATTTGTCCATTAAATCAAACAAAAGAATAGCTCTTAATCTACCTTGAAGTGCAGTTTAAAATGCACTGGGGTACTTGTTCCTGGAAGTTTCCATGGTTGTATTCCCACCTAGACTCACAGGAGGACCTGCGAGCTGCCAGCTCTGGGACTTTCCTCCACCTGCAGAGAGGTCTGGCCCTCTGGGTCCTGGCTTCAACCATGCCTGTCTTCAGTCTTTACATAAGTGACTCCTTTACTTTACACCCAGCAGCCAGAATCAGCTTTGACCTTTAACAAGTAGCTGTTTCCTTGACATTTCCTCTAGATCCTTGTTCCCTGCAGACTCAGTGGTCTGCGAAGGGCAGGGAAGAGTGTGTTCACCCCCACACCTGCTGTCTGAGCAGACCTGTCCACACTCTGTGGGCTTCCTGGGCTTCTCTGAGCAAGCAGCTAGTGTCCCTGTTTAGGGTGCACACCGTCCCCTCAAAGGGCGCCTGTCCTGTGTGACATGCCCCTACCTTTGCTGCACTTATTCAGAAAGAAAGAAAAGTAGAGGAAGAGTCTCCACCTTCTCCTGGAAGCCAGCAGCAGGGAGATGAGGAAGTTGCCTGGCATGCCTTACCTCCACTGGTAGGAGAGCGGTGGGTGTGATGACAGCAGTGAGCTGCAGACAGGCTCCAGTGTTGATACACCACAGTGGATGGCACAGATGTACCTGTGTTCTACTTCTGCATCCGAGAGCAGAACGCACAGATCCTATGTCAGTTTTAGAGAGCAGAACGCACAGATCCTATGTCAGTTTTAGTGTGCTGTAGATTGAGCACCTAACAGATGCCAGAAAACCAAAATGCTGAGCACTGAGGCTTGCTTATGCTTATGACAAGAAAGTAGAAACTGTTGTTGGCTTTTTTTTTTTTTTTTTACTCTTTGGTCTTTTGGGGGCCCGCCACCCAGCTCCCAAATAATTATACGTAAGATGTAATTCTTTCTTATGAATGCCCTTATCTTGGCTTGATGCTAGTCAGCTTTTCTTAACTTAAATTACCCTGTCTACCTTTTGCCTCTGGGCTTTTACCTTTTTTTATTTCTGTATATCTTTTCTTTCCTCCTTACAACATGTTTGGCTGTGTGGCTGTGTGGCTGTGTGGCTGTGGCTGGGTGGCTGGGTGGCTGGGTGGCTGAGTGGCTGGGTGGCTGAGTGGCTGTGTGGCTGGGTGGCTGCTGCTGGGTGGCTGGGTGGCTGTGGCTGGGTGGCTGGGTGGCTGAGTGGCTGGGTGGCTGGGTGGCTGGGTGGCTGAGTGGCTGGGTGGCTGAGTGCCTGTGTGGCTGGGTGGCTGTGGCTGGGTGGCTGGGTGGCTGTGGCTGGGTGGCTGGGTGGCTGGGTGGCTGAGTGGCTGGGTGGCTGGGTGGCTGAGTGGCTGGGTGGCTGGGTGGCTGGGTGGCTGGGTGGCTGGGTGGCTGGGTGGCTGGGTGGCTGGCCCCTTCTATTCTCACTCTTTGATCTTCCCCTTTGCTCTTTTTTTTCCTTCTGTTTATTCTCTCTGCCTGCCAGCCCAGCCTATCCTTCCTCCTGCCTCACTTTTGGCCATTCACCTCGTTATTAGACCAATCAGATGATTTAGACAGGCACAGTAACACAGCTTCACAGAGTTAAACAAATGCAACATAAAAGAATGCAACACATCTTTGCATCATTAAACAAATGGTCCACAGCATAAACAAATGTAACACATTTTAAAATAATAATCTGCAACAAGAAACAGCTGTGCAGTTTATTTGAATTAATGTGTGAATAGTTTAAAGTATATCATTTACAAAGAAGTGTATGCTCTGTTATATAAACAAATATTCAATAAATATATTAAAAATAATTTGTTAAATATTTTATATATATTTAGTATATTTTATTGTATATTCATACATGATATAAATCAATATATTAAGCATAAAAAACCAACTTGTAACATAATAGGAACTAATATCTGCATATTAATTTCAGTTTCTTCAGGAAGTTACTTCAGTTATCCTGGAAGCAGGCCAGCTTCTCACCCTCACATAGGGACAGTGACCACATGGTGATGGAGAGCTGGAGCCTGTTCCTTTTCCAGGAGTTCTACACTTCTAAGCAAGGTGCTTCACTTTGTGCTAAAGAGGATGTACAATTGGTAGGGTTAGCTTGCCTGAGAAAACTTCTGTTCTACCCAGTCTTTGTGGCACATGTGCAGTTGCAGATGCGTGTGCACACACACACACACACACACACACACACACACACACACACACAGTACTAGATCATTGATATTCTGTCTATAGGCAACATAAAAAGCAGAATACAAAGATCCCTCCTATGCAAAATATGCCTGCAGTGGTCTTTCAGAGCACAGCATTGCATTTTGAGTACTTCACAGTGTGGAAGAGGAAATAATAGCAACGCTGTGACTCTGCTCGGGCATTCCGCTCAGTGGAGAGACGCATTCTCAATTTTGTCCTTTGACAACTTACCGAACAGTTTTTGTGATTCTGTGGCCAACTGTATCTATCCTGTACTTTCTGTAGGGTTAAGCATGTCCTGCTAAATCAGTCTGTGGGAGAGAACATAGAGAAGGAGAAGGTATGATTATGTCAGCAACTGATCCCCCAAGGACTTGGCCTGAGTCAGGCATGTATTCTAGCAAGCACAAGTTAGAAAACACATCAGCAGGAGTGTGAGCCTTTGAAAAAATTTCCTTGCCAGATGTTTTCTGTCAAGGCTGGAACTGAAGGAGTAAGAAGGATGTCGAGCATGTGGACACATGTGCTTTCTCAGACACATCTTGATAGTTCCGGCAGTGAAAGAGGTACAGAGATAGCCTGCAGGGTTGATGCATGCTCATCTGGGAGCCAGTAGAGGTGAGCAACAGGACTGATGTCCCTGGAGAGCTGCCTGTGTTTGCTAGCTCACCTATCCCTGTCAGGTGAGTATGGGTTCCATTAGCTTTGAGGCTGTGGACAAGCTACTTAACTACTCCACAGTTTGATTTCAAAGGTAAGAATATAAATCCACAAGGCAAGCATATGTTACAGGAGGGGGGCAGTTGTTCTAAAAGCTTATTTAATTAAAGATACATGCAACAAAGGATTAATCCTTTGGAGTGAGGCTGGGTTCCACCTTCTTCCTCAACAGTGGCACATCATCTCTTCCTTCTCTGCAGACTGGGGATAATAATGGTTCTATTCGGCAGGATTTTCTCTCCTGTTAAAAATAGATAGCTTCAAATCCTTGAAGCGCTTAGCTAGTGTTCAGTAAGCTTTAACTTTAATCCTAACAATTATTATTTTTTCAGCAAAAGTATCAGCCATATGTGAGCAAGGTGTAGGTCTGAATTAAAATTATCTAGGCTTACCTTTTTATTCTTTGTAATTTTTTATTGGGTTTCTAATTGAGAAAGAGTCTCATTATGTAGGCTAGCCTATTGTCAATCACATTATTCTCTGGCCTCAGTCCCCCAGGTAGCTGGAACTATGATGCATGTCTCCAAACCTAACATTTTAGGCTTAATTTTGAATTAGGGAATTCTTTGTAATATTTTAAATTGAGAGTGACTTGCTATTGCTATGTTTGAAATTGTGCAAATGAAGTGAGAATGTGTTGATACTTTATATTAAACAATTTCAGATTTGCATAATTAAAATTTTTCTGATTCTAATTTGCAAAAGCTATGAGTAGCTCAGCATCTCACTGGACTGCGATGAGTATTAAATGTGCTAATATATTCGAGTCATTTAGCCTCGGGCCTGACATTATTAATAGTAATGATCTCTAGGCAGCAAGAGCTGAGAGTGGACACTAGGGAGAGGGAAGATGACTATTTCTCCCACGACATCTCACACTGATTCACCAGTGCTTGGCTGCCTTCCTTATTTAGTGAAGAACCGGTGTAAGTGGAAAAGGATAGAGGAACTTGCTAACTACTGTCAACATAGACCCATGTCAGGAGGTGTTTCAGAAAACTAGGGCAAAGGTAAGAACTCCATCAAACTCTCTTCCTGTTCTACTGTGAGAGATGCTGATTGCCTAGGATGTTCTCTTCTTTAAAACTTGGGCAAAAAACATGAGGGATTTTGAGCACAGAAAAAATATTTTAAAATATGAGGAGATGGTAAAATCCACAGGGCTTCTGGTCTCATCTCATGATGCCTCTAACTCATGAATGTCAGTTTCAATTCTGCATATTCTAATATCAACCTACTTACTGAGGATAAAAGTTAGTTGAGAGTTTATACAGAGCCCCAAAATAAGCCTTGTTTGCCTTTCCAGATTAAACTTATATTTTATCTATTAGTCTGTCATCTCTCTCTCTCTCTCTCTCTCTCTCTCTCTCTCTCTCTCTCTCTCTCTCTCTCTCTCTCTCTCTCTCCTTTACTGCAGCCTATCATCATCACCACCATCATTATCATTACTACCGGCATCTGTCGTCTACCTATCTGTACCCACATTAGTTAGTTTGCAGATGGCTATAACCAAACATCTGACAAGAAACAACTTCAGAGACGAAGGATTAACTTTGTGTCATGGTTTGAAGGTTAGTATTAGTTATATTTCTTATTGCTGTAACAAAATACTCAACAAAAGCAACTCAAGGGACAGTGTATTTGTGTTCATCATGTCAGTGAGAGTGTGGAGGAAGGACCCTGAGGCAACCAGGAAGCAGAAAACAATGAGTGCTGATGCTCCCCCTGCTTTCTCCATTTTATTCACTATGGAACCTCAGCCAAGAGAATGGTGCTGCCCATGTTCGGGCAGTATCATCCAACCTTAGTGCCTCTCTCTGGAAACTGCTTCAGAGACAAACCCAGATGTGCCTCTCATCTGTTCAAGTTTATAGTGAAGATCAGCCATAACAAGAATATCATCTTCTGGGAGTGAGAAGTCACTGTAGTGGGGAGATCTTGGCTCGGTCCCCTCACCTCTATCTCTGTAGAAGAGTGAGAAGGCACTGTGGCAGGGAGATCTTGGCTCAGTCCCCTCACCTCTATCTCTTGAACAGTGAGAAGGCACTGTGGCAGGGAGATCTTGGCTAGGTCCCCTCACCTGTATCTCTGTAGAAAAAGAAACATAGACAACCCTTCACGTCTCCAGTCTTGTTTTGTTTCATTCAGGTCTCCTGGGCTTCCACCAGAATAACATGTTAAGCTCTGCTTTGATTTAGCGCTTCTCTGGTCTGCAGCTCCAAACATTCCTACATTACCCTGCAAAGCAGTCCCCTAAGCTACAAACTGCATAATCATGTAGTCACATCAACAACCCAAGTTCTTGAGAGCAACCTTCCGTGCTAGTTGCTTTTCTCATTTCTGTAATCAAGTGCCAGGAAAGAAGCAGCTTATGTGAGGAAGACTCAGTTTTGGCTATGGCTTGAGGGTATGGTCTATGAAAGCAGAAAGGGAGGGTATGGCATTCTGCTGTTTTTCCTTACCTTCTCACATCTCAGAAGAACAGAGAGCAGAGACGGACAGGAAGCATGATTGTGCTACAAACGTGAAGGCTCATAGCCTCCGATGTCTACTCCCTACAGTTAGGCCCCATACACCAAAGGTCCCACAACCTTCCCAAACAGTTCCACCAGCAATGGGAAAATGATTTCCTACCTATATAATAAAACCAACAGTGTAACACAGGAAAAAATGAAAGATTAATATAGGCCAAGAGTGCTTAGAAAATGTTAAAATGAACAATTGGTTCTTCCATAACTTGTCTCTGGGAGTTTGACATGGTTTTCATCATTTTAAAAACAAAATAACTCCCTAATGAACACTTGTTTATTTATTTAAAAAGCTGTTTTGTGTTTCTCTAGCATGGTCTAGGTAGAAACACATTACCTGGGGCTATAGAATTACACTAATGTGTTTTCTCATCTGTCAACCAGTTCTAGCTTGGGTGCTGAACTCATTAGGCTGTTAACAGTGACACAAGAAGGTAAGTATGAGCTGCTCACCTCGTGTGTGGACCAGAAGCACAGAAATATAACTCAAAGGTATCTGTCTCATGGGTACAGAATGGCTACAAACCTGGCTGGCCTTGATCAGGTCTGTGCCAACATTAAGTCATAATGAACTGGCCTGGTTACAAGAAGATGCCGGAAGACACTTTGGTGAGCGTTCCTGAGGCTAGAGCCATTTGGACAGGCTGCTGCTTACATCCTCCCCCTCCTCACTGCTCAGGTCCCTCCAGCATGAGAACTCAGAGTGTGCCCACAGGGAAATGGTCCAAGGTCCTTCATCTCACCATTAAAACCCTTGCTTCAGAAACCACTCTCAGATTAAAGTGCTATTATCAAGAGATCCTGCCTTTGTGAAGGATGGTTGGCTCTGTAGCAACTTCTGAGTTTTTGATGAATTGAAACATCCATTTTAAAGTCAACCCAAATCGTGGGCTCCAACAGTGAAACTTGAACTTGTGTGGTTTCCATCTGAGAACGGCTCTCCGCGCTAACTTAAGACCTCCGAGCCCATCTTGGCCTTTCAGTCTAGAGATGAAACAACGTATGGGACTGTTGGGTCTGACTGAGAGTTACCAAGACTGTCTTTCCCGCACCCTGCCCCGTTGTGTCCTGACACATAGATTTTAAAAGGCATTTTTAGACCACTGGGTGTAATGGAAGACAACTTTGAAAACAAATCCCTGAAGTCTTGTTTCATTAACACCTTTCTTGGCAACAGATAGGAGTGGCAACAGAGTGTAATTTCACCTACAAAGTCAAACAGAAAATGAATTTCTTATTATGTAGCATTTGTATCCCTGGGCGTGAGTGTTCTAGGCCAGCTTCACAATCAAGGGCACCAGCTCTGAGGAGCATTAAATCACCACAAGAAGGAAAATAATTAGCGTTATTCCTTGTAATAGGAGTGAAGACGGATCTTCAAGAGAATGCAGCCGTTCTGGAAGGTGGCTCTGGGCTGTCACGTGGAGAGGCTGCTGCAGTATGCACTCGTCCTGAATCCATGCTCTCTGTGTTTGTATAGTGACAGCTGAGGGCATGGAAACCTGTGCTGTGACAGTGCTCCTGAATGGGATCAGAACAGAATCAGAGAGGAAGTGGCTCCCAGGTCCTGCTGTGCCTATCAGAGGTCAAGCAGAATTCTACCCAGCATTCCCTAAGTTCCTACAGCATTGAGGACTCTCAACTAACTCTTGGGGAGCTCCTCACCCTTGGGACCATGCAAACTTGAGTTAAAATCTCATCTTTGTTATTTACTTTTTTAAGGACAATTCATTAAATATCTTACATTTTAAACTTCTTACCTAGAAAATGGCCCAAACAGTAACTACCTTAGAATTTTGTTATGAGAAATCACATGACATTCATAAGATACACAGTGCCACACCAACATACTTACATTTTTAGTTGGATAAACAAGTTTATTTACAAACTTAGTCAATAAAGTATAATTAGCCTGTAGCTTGAGTTTTCCTGCCTGGCCCACAGTCAGGACAAATCTCTCTCACCTGCCAGTCCCACAGCTGCTCAGACCGGACCAAGTAAACACAGAGACTTATATTGGTTACAAACTGTATGGCCATGGCAGGCTTCTTGCTAACTGTTCTTATAGCTTAAATTAATCCATTTCCATTAATCTATACCTTGCCACATGGCTCGTGGCTTAACGGCATCTTCACATGCTGTTTGTCATCGTGGCGGCTGGCAGTGTCTCTCTGACTCAGCCTTCCACTTTCCAGCTTTATTCTCCTCCTTGTCCCGCCTATACTTGGCCACTGGCCAATCAGTGATTTATTTATTGACCAATCAGCAACTCATTTGCCATACAGAACATCCCACAGCATTAGCCTAAAATTTTTCATAGAATAAACTTAAAAACCTCTTTGGATAAATTTAGAAATCACTATGAAAGTGATTTCCCAGGACAGTAACCAGATGTGACCTAGCCCATCTTGATCAGCAGAGGTTCAATAAACTGCAGCTCTGTTCCTCATCCATGCAAATCTATGCTAAAACCCACAAGGCAAAGGAGAACCTTATATTGTTTCCTCTTAAACAGAAAAAAAAGCCGGGCGGTGGTGGCGCACGCCTTTAATCCCAGCACTCGGGAGGCAGAGCCAGGCGGATCTCTGTGAGTTCGAGGCCAGCCTGGGCTACCAAGCGAGTTCCAGGAGAGGCGCAAAGCTACACAGAGAAACCCTGTCTCGAAAAACCAAAAAAAAAAAAAAAAAAAACCAAAAAAACCAAAAAAAACAGAAAAAAATCTCATAAACCCCCAAATAATTGAACTCCAAATTACCTACATTTTAGTAACAAGACTACTCACAATCTTTAATTGAAAAATGTCACAACAGATAAAGCAGCTATTATTTATGCACATACTATATTTTATAGGGCCTGATTACTTTCTTTTTTCAATAATATTTCATTTATTCTTTGATAATTTCATACATATATGCAATGCATTTCAGGTATAACTACTCCTTATGTCCCCTTTCCAACTCCCCTTGGACTCCCTTCATCACATTCCCTCCCAACTTCATAACTTTGTCTCTTATTTTGTTATACTATCCCACTAGTTAGCTCTGCCCATATGTGCATGGGTGTGGGGTCATCTACTAGAGCATGGGTAACCTACTACTGGTTATACTCCCAAAGAAAAATGACTCTACTTCCCCCAACAACCACGCATTCATCCTTTACTTAGAGGTGGTGTCTCATGAACTCCTCCACCATTCGTGTTGGAGTTTTGGGTGGCTTGCGTTTGTTCCGGAGTTGGGCAGGTGGCCACAGATGCCTGAGTTCAGGGGTACACACAGCCTCGCCATGCCCAGAAGTAGGCGTTTCATAGCTCCCCTCTCCATTCTTCAATGCTTACTGTCTTTCTGTGCCCTTGTCAGTGATGTTCATCTCACTTAAGGCTGAGGACTCCACAGACACTTATTATCACCACTCTAGCTAGTTATGAGTTTCTGCTTGGACTGCAAAAAGAAGTTTCTTTAACTAAGCTGGAGAGAGGTTTTGTTTTTTTTTTTTTTTTTTTTTTTTGGTTTTTCGAGACAGGATTTCTCTGTGTAACTTTGGTGCCTGACCTGGATCTTGCTCTGTAGACCAGACTGGCCTCGAACTCACAGAGATCCACCTGGCTCTGCCTCATGAGTGCTGGGATTAAAGGTGTGCACCACTATTGCCCGGTTGAGAGTATTAATCTAAAGGTATAAGCATATGTATTTAGAAGGTAGTTCAACAACATAACCATTTAGCCAAATGACAATAACAAGTTTACTCTGAGGGCCTATGACAGGCCATGGGCTTCTGACCAAGATTACAATACCAGACACGAAATTCTCTTCCACGGAGCAGGCTTCAAATCCGATCAGAGAGATGTTAGTAAGCTACACTGTGGTTAAGACTTGTGTTTTCAACCCTTAGAAGAGCCTACATTTTACCAAAATGATGGATCTTTTCACCTATGGGTCAGGCTGTCAATAACAAATGGACCTCAGCAGGGATGTCCTTTGGACCCCAGGGAATGCTTGAGTGGCTTATGGAGTACCTCCATTTCTTAAGGGCAAGTCATGAGAGAAGAGAATAAATTATCAAAGTTATAAAAGATGGACATGAAAATGAGGCAGACGGAGAATATAATGATGAATGATCTCATTAAGATTCATCACTATGAGCCAGGCAGTGGTGGTACATATTTTTAATTCTGTCACTCTGTAAGCAGAGGCAGGTGGATTTGAGTTCCAGGCCAGCCTGGTATAGAGTGAGTTCCAGGACAGCCAGGGCTACACAGAGAAATCTTGTCTAAACTAACAGAGAAAAAAAAAGATTCATCACTATTATGTTGGCAGAATGTACTAATGTTGACCACGTAATTTGTATCATAGGTTTGATGACCATCTTTAGAGTTTCAGGATTTGTAAACCCTGTTGAGTGTCACTGGATATCAACGGTGTCTCTTTGTCACCAGTCAGAGATAAGAACTCTAGGTTCTGGCTGTTTGTGTGTACGCATGGGTGTCTTCTCTTTACAACTTGTTTGACAGCATAATGACAGACTAATTCCAATTTATTTTTTCCTTGTCT